CCTCCGCGCTCGCCCTTCCCGGACCCACAGACCCCGCCCTCCCACGCCTCTCCGACGCCTAGGCTTGCGCAACGGCGGAAATGGGCTGGGCGGGGCGAGCGCCGCGGCTAGAGGAAGGCGGGGACGTTCTCGCTCCTCGGTCCCGCCGGCTCCTCCCCGCCCGGGTCACGCTGTGACAGGGGCGGAAGCGGCGGCGGCGGCGGCCGAGCAGGGGCTGAGGCTCGCGGCGCGGATCCTGCCGTCCAGCACGCGCGGCGGGCGGCTCCCGAAAGGCGCCCGCCGTCCGGCGCGGCGCGCCCCGCCTCGCCCACGCTCCGAGGTGGGGGGCCGGCGGCTCCGGGGACAGGCGTGGGGGCGGTGGCGGGTTTCGGGAGTCGGCGCTGCACAAAGCAGCTTGGCTGGGGTGCCGGACCTCCTGTTCCCCGTGGGCAGCGCTTCTCGCTCGGGTGGGAGGTGGGCGGATGCACCAGGGGCTGGTGTCTCCTGCCCTCCGTTGGAAGAGGGTGCGGGGTGGGGAATCCCTCCCTGAGGTAAGGGGGAATTCCCGGACTGGCGTGTTAGGGCGACGGGGCTCCCCGATTCGTCGCGGTGTTTCGGGTCTCCTGACTCCCCCTGCGGTGTTTCCTTTCTGTCCAGCGGTGCCCTTCCCCCGAGACTCCTTGCACCTCTTCAGCGCAAAGGTGAGCCCCGTGGCGGTTGCTTCTTCCAGTTGGGCGAAGACTCCCGACAGCTTTTCGGGAAGCGTGGCGGCTGCAGCTGGCACCCGAAGCGTTGGGGCTCCCGTGTGGTGGCTGCCAGAGCCCCATTCCTCGGCCGGGTGCTTGCCACGGGGGGGCACGTTCCCCAAGTCGGAAGCTCTCGCCTGCCCTTCCCAGCCGTGGGGCCTCGCAGGTATTGGAGTCACGCTCCGCGGCACGGCCACCACGCAGGGAGGCTGGATTAGCACTGCCCGGTTGCTGGGGGAACTCCTCTGGGATTGGAGGCCTGGGGGGGCAGCCTGATTAGACGAGCTGTTCGTCCACAGTCTGGCAGCTGGCAGGTGAGAGAGGAAGGAAGAGGCAGGCCCAGCTGTAGAAAGTTGGGGTTCAGTGATCTGGAACCCAGCCAGATGGAGGCCCTGTCTTCCCTGAGTTTGTAGGACTCCGTAGACCACTCTGGTTGGGGAGTCCCCCCTCCACATATATGCACATAATGCAAGACTTGGAGTGGTTTTTATTTGTGTTTTTAAAATCTATTTTAGTGGCAGAAAGGCGAGTGGGAGGGAAGGTGTCTTCAGGAGGTACGTGAGAAAATTACTATCAGTAATTAATTGCCTTCCAGGCAGAGAGAGTAGTCAACAAATGACATCTAGGCAGTTGAGGATTTAATATTGAATTATTGAACTGCACATCGACTATTGAAAGATTCTGAAGTGTGGGAGTACTAAGGCGCTAAATCCTGACTTATTTTAAGTGTCCCAAAGAGAAATTCCTGTTTCTCTTGTCTCTGAAGGAGTTTCTAGTAGTTTGCCCTATTTTTAAATGTTTGCTAACTCCAGTATAAATTGTTTTCTAACCTGGAGACTTATTGATTCATATTTGTGTGAAAACTGTGTTTTTTTTTTTTTGAGTCGGAGTCTCATTCTGTCACCCAGGCTGGAGGGCAGTGGCACGCTCCCGGCCACCCCAGCCTTCACCTGCTGGGCTCCGGCGATCCTTCCGCCTCAACCTTCCAAGTAGGTGGAACTACAGGTGCGCGCTACCACGCCCGGCTAGTTTTTGATTTATTGTAGAGACAAGGTCTCGCCAAGTTGCCCGGGTGAGTCTCGAACCTGCGGGCTCAGGCAGTCCACTTGCCTCGGCCTCCCAAAGTGCTGGGATTATAGGTTGAGCCACCGAGCCCGGCCGAAAACAGTGCTTCTAAAAAATCTTTTTGAATAAGCTGTTTCAGAAATACATACATATATATGTTTACCGGAACCCTGCTTTTTTTCCTTCTTTTATCACATTAAAAGAAAACCAAAGCCAAATTTTAAATTTCTGCCTTTAAAATTAGGAAGAACTATGTTTTTAATGTTGAGCGTAAAACAGGTTGATTATATTTAGTTAGGTGAGTTCATTAATATGAAAAATCATGTGGGAAAATATTTTAGTGTACTAGTTAGTTTTAATGTTTTTTGTTTTTTTTTTAATGAGTGTCTCACTCTATTGCCCAGGGTGGAGAGCAGTGGCTCACCTACGTCTACCACAACCTCAACCTGCTGGGCTCAGGTAATCCTTTCACCTCAACCAAGTAGCTGGGAACCATAAGTATGCGCTACCACACCCCGCTTATTTTTTGATTTATTGTAGAGATAAGGTCTCACCAAGTTGCCCAGGCTGTCTCAAACCCCTGGGCTCAGACAGTTCTCTCACTTCAGCCTTCCAAAGCGTTGAGATTATAAGTTTGAGCCACCACGCCCAGCGGTTTTAGTGATACTTTGGTCATTATTTCTAAGCACAATAACTTTAATTCTTCCAACTTTACTTAAATGTTTTTTCCTTCATTTTAAGACCCAAGGAACTAGCAACAATGGAAGTATAGAAATTATAAGTGCTAAAAAAAGGAGGCACATAACCCCCAATTGTGTGAGTAAAGGTGAAAACCTTACAGACTTTCAGCCAGATTTAATAATGATTTTTATAGCTAATGTTTTCATTTCCTCTTTATTTTTTGAGTTTAATTCTGTGTTGCATCAAATACATATTTTCCAGTATACAGTTAGATTGAAATGTTCGATGAAACTTCTGGAATTTATGCTTTCTTTGGGGAGTGTTTGCATTCCTAGGTGACAGGGTCAAATGTTGCATGAACCTAGGCTGATTTCATTTATGTTCCTTAAGCCCACATTTAACTTAAGATACTTTTGCTACAGTACTTATATATTCTATACATTTACAAATACTGTATATGCTTACATATGCTTGTGGTTCATTTTATGAATAATATGGGATATATGTTTATATATAAGTGAAGAGATTCATATGTTTATATATAAGAATTCATATTTACATATGTATATGAAGAGATTTGTTAGATTGATCAGCCTTTTGAGCATAAAAATGGGACCCAGAAAGCCTTCTTTGGGCATAACAATTATAAGTAGATAGTACTTTTAACATTATTAGCCCTTTATCCAGCAGTATTTGGATGCTGTGGAACTAAACGGCAATTTACTTAATGCTTCAAGAATTATAATGCAGCCGGGCTTGGTGGCTCAGCCTGTAATCCCGTGCCTTTGGGAGGCTGAGGTGAATGGATTGCCTGAGCTCGCCTGGGCAGGCGAGACCTCATCTCTACAATAAATCAAAAAATCAGCCGGGCGTGGTAGCGCGTGCCTGTAGTTCCAGCTACTTGGAAGGCTGAGGCGGAAGGATCGCCGGAGCCCAGCAGGTGGCTTCCGGCCACCGCACTCCAGTCTGGGTGACAGAGTGAGACTCCCAACTCAAAAAAAAAAAAGATTTCTCAAAGTCACTGTAGATGGCAGAATGAGTTTTTCACAAGGTGTTAATCCATGAAAAATACTCATGGATGTTAATACAACTCACAAAAATATGAAACAGTAGGATTGTAAGCTCCTCAAAGTTTTTCTCTAAGATTAAGATTTTATATGTGGGATTTATATTTTATGGTATGACTTTTCCACTTACAAATTCTTATCTATAGGTGCGTCCTGTTTATTTTTCATCTGTCATTTTGTGTGTGCATGTGTTTATAGTAAATACGATGGATTAGGGAAGGAGATGATTGATGATTATATATGTATTATTGAGTGCTTATGCTAAGCAGTTTTCACTCATTATTTATTTATTTTATTTATTTATTTATTTTTTGAGTTGGAGTCTCACTCTGTCACCCAGACTGGAGTGCAGTGGCTGCTCCCGGCCACTGCAGCCTCGACCTGCTGGGCTCCGGCGATCCTTCCGCCTCAGCCTTCCAAGTAGCTGGAATTACAGGCGCGCGCTATCATGCCTGGCTCATTTTTGACTTTTTGTAGACATGAGGTCTCGCCAAGTTGCCCAGGTGGGTCTCGAACCTGCGGGCTCAGGCAATCCACTCACCTCAGCCTCCCAAAGGCACGGGATTACAGGCTCAGCCACCGAGCCCGGCTCATTATTTAATTTTTTATTTTTATTTTTGAGTTGGAATCTCACTATTGCCTAGGCTGGAGTGCAGTGGCATGCTCACGGCCACCGCAGCCTCGACCTACTGGGCTCAGGTGATTATTTGTCTCAGCCTTCCAAGCAGCTGGAACTATAGTTGTGCCCCACCACTTCCAGCTCATTTTTTATTTGTTATAGAAACGTGTTCTCACCAAGTTGTCCAGGCTGATCTTGAACTCTTGGACTCGGGTAATCCTCTCGCCTCTGCCTCCCAAAGGGCTGGATGACAGGTATGAGCCACAATGCCCGGCCTATTATTTAATTTAATTGAAAAAGAATTCTAATAGCTCTAAATCTTTTATGACTGCTATACATTATTTCTCTTGTATACTTTGGTTTTTAATGTTTGTTTAACCATGCTGTGATTGGACTAATTTGAGTACTCATAAAATTTTTCCAGTAGACGATACCAGTGCTTCTGTCTAATTCAGATTCCTGTATTCGGTAGTGACTAGACAGTGTGCCTGTATTTATTTGTTTTCTTTTTAAAGTATGCAAAGAGATAAAAATGCAGGAACTGCTAAGAAGACACAGAAGGATGGAGAGGAACATAACAGATAAAAATTAGGTGTTTTTCCTTATTGAATTTTACAAACAGTAGTATA